CGGCGCAGTTGGCCCCGCGCTGCCCCGGCGCCCCAGGGGCTCCGGACTGGGACCACGACTGCCCCCCGCTCTGCTGCCGGCAGAGCTCCGGGCCCCTGCCGCCCTCCCCAGCATCTCCCCGGCCGTCGCAGCGAGGGAGAGGATGTCCGGCAGCACGGCGAGGAAGGTCCAGCCCTTCACCATAAGCACCAAACTCTCCCTGCCCAAATGTGGCACCGATTTCTCCGGCGATGCTTGCCCCGACATCGCTCTCGCCTCCGCTCTGGGCAACCACCATGGCCTTCGGCACAACCTCAACGAGCGCATCTCCCTCTACCTGGCCCAAGCACGTGCCAGTCCCGCTTCCCCTGACAGCCAGCCCCGCAGCACCAGCCCCGTGGAAGAAGGAGTCACCGATGAGGACCGGCTTAACCGCAACTCTCTTGCCCGCTCCATCAAGAAGATCACTCTGTCCAACTGGCATGGGGAGGCTGTCGCATGTGACACAGGGGGACCCAGGGATCCTGCCCGGACCAGCGTTGAGAGGAACCACAACAACAACAATAGCAGGGCAGGGAAAGCTCAGTTCAAGGTAAGGACCATACCCTGCACCCTGCTCTCCCTGTCCCTTCAGGCCTGGCTCCTCCGCTCTGCTCTCCCAGTCCCTGTCTTCAAGGGGATGGGTAAGTCTTAGGGGAGGCTGTGCCCAGACGGGGGGTATCTCTGCCTCTTTCTTTCTGACTGTCCTGAAAAGCCACGTCTCCAGGGAGCGTTTGTGGCAGAGCTTCTGGGATAGCTCGCTTCCTCTGCCTCCCACGCTCCCGCTTCCCGGTGCAGTGGGACTGCCGGGTAAGAGGGGAGCTTTGAGGGGAGAGCTGGAAATGAGCTTTCCTTGGGACTCAAATAAAACAGGAAACCTCTGCCCCAGAGCCTCAGTTGTGCAGGGCTCTGCTCTTTTCATGCCTGTGATAATCCAATTGCATGAGGGGAACTGGGAACGCACTCTTCCTTTTACTGGAGGGAAATGGAGGCTTGGAGAAGGGAAGTGACTCACGAAGGGCCACACTGAGGCAGATACACGAGGAGGCTCCTGCCTGTCAGTTCCCTGCCCCGGCTGGGAGCAGGACCCAGGCGTGCTGGCATCCCGCCCTCCTAGTTTCAGTGCTAGCAGACATGGATGTCCTCATCTGTCAGTGCTGGAGCTCGGGAGACCCCCAGGTGGTGGGGACGGGAGGAAGGCAGCTCGGAGACCTCGTGCTCATAGCTGAAAGAACAGACGGGAACTCCTTGTGATTTAACCCTGACCCGCAGCAGCTGGTTTCACAGTGGGATAGCGCTAGGGAGAGCAGTGCAGCTGACTGCCAAAACCTCCTTCTTCATTGCCAATAAAGGCTAGGCACAGCCTCCCAAGAGCTGCCGCTCGCTTCAGTGCGCAGGCAGGTCCTCGCTGTGTAGCTTGAGCCGGCATGGCCTGAGGATGTGCCTGAGGGCTCCCCTCTTTTATGTAATGTGGTGATGTGTGTGTGTTTGGGGGGCTCTGGAGGTTGCCGGGATCTGCCCTTCCTGTCGGTGCAGCATGGCGGGGTGGAGCTGGACGGGATGAGAAGACAACAAGATGGAGCTTTGGGAGGAAGAGCCAGAGCCAAGGCACGGTGTGAGAAAGCGTGTGTTACATAGG